TTTCCCACCCACTTCCCCCCTAAGGGGGTTTTGCCGATTTTCCATTCGTATAATCGCCTATATCTCGGAGACTATAAGACCTAGGAACACCCAATTTTAGTCCGAGATGCCTTATGTGAATACACAGAAAATGTATATTTTGGAATTTCCCTCCCTCCCCCCTCTACCCCTCAAATCGTAACTCCCGTAATTCTTGGAATTTCCAACTTTTTTCAAATTTTGGAAATACACCCCCTTGGGTTATTATGTGTCCGTATGCCAAGTTTCACTATGATAGACCGATTTAACGAGAAGTTATAGCCATAAATATATTTGCTGCTGCAGCGCTGCTCGCTGAGTTGGAATACCGAGAGAGGTAATATCGATCAATATTTTTTTTTTATTTTCTTAATTTTTTTTATTTTCTATAATTATTGTAAACATATGTACAGAGTATTTTAAAGTCGGGACACCCGACTTTACCTTTTTTACTTGTTATACCCTGTACCCGTAGGGTAAAAAGGGTATATTAGGTTTGTGCAAAGTATGTAACATGCAGAAGGAAGCATCTCCGACCCCATAAAGTATATATATTCTGAATCAGCATGACGAGAGAAATCGATCTAGACATGTCCGTCCGTCCGTCTGTCCGTCTGAATGAACGCAAGGATCTCAGAAACTATGAAAGCTAGAATAACCAAAGTTGGCATCCAGATTCTCCTAGGTCCGAGAAAGGACGAGTTTATTTTATTTTTTTAATTTCATGGAATGTAGACAAAATTGCTTCTTTTTATACTCTGTACATGAAATGTACAGAAGTATATTAGGTTTGCGGGAGCTGAAAAATGTAACAGGCAGAAGGAGGCGTGGCAGACCCCACAAAGTATATATATTCTTGATCAGCATGACGAGACGAGTCGATCTAGCCCTGTCTGTCTGTCTGTCCATCTGCCCGTCCGTATGAACACCTGGATCTCAGAGACTATAAGATCTAGAGACACCAAATTTTGCACAAAGATGCCTTATGTGTGTATTCTATACGCATTTGTTTTATTGTTTTGATTTTCCCACCCACTTCCCCCCTAAGGGGGTTTTCCCGATTTTCCATTCGTATAATCGCCTATATCTCGGAGACTATAAGACCTAGGAACACCCAATTTTAGTCCGAGATGCCTTATGTGAATACACAGAAAATGTATATTTTGGAATTTCCCTCCCTCCCCCCTCTACCCCTCAAATCGTAACTCCCGTAATTCTTGGAATTTCCAACTTTTTTCAAATTTTGGAAATACACCCCCTTGGGTTATTATGTGTCCGTATGCCAAGTTTCACTATGATAGACCGATTTAACGAGAAGTTATAGCCATAAATATATTTGCTGCTGCAGCGCTGCTCGCTGAGTTGGAATACCGAGAGAGGTAATATCGATCAATATTTTTTTTTTATTTTCTTAATTTTTTTTATTTTCTATAATTATTGTAAACATATGTACAGAGTATTTTAAAGTCGGGACACCCGACTTTACCTTTTTTACTTGTTATACCCTGTACCCGTAGGGTAAAAAGGGTATATTAGGTTTGTGCAAAGTATGTAACATGCAGAAGGAAGCATCTCCGACCCCATAAAGTATATATATTCTGAATCAGCATGACGAGAGAAATCGATCTAGACATGTCCGTCCGTCCGTCTGTCCGTCTGAATGAACGCAAGGATCTCAGAAACTATGAAAGCTAGAATAACCAAAGTTGGCATCCAGATTCTCCTAGGTCCGAGAAAGGACGAGTTTATTTTATTTTTTTAATTTCATGGAATGTAGACAAAATTGCTTCTTTTTATACTCTGTACATGAAATGTACAGAAGTATATTAGGTTTGCGGGAGCTGAAAAATGTAACAGGCAGAAGGAGGCGTGGCAGACCCCACAAAGTATATATATTCTTGATCAGCATGACGAGACGAGTCGATCTAGCCCTGTCTGTCTGTCTGTCCATCTGCCCGTCCGTATGAACACCTGGATCTCAGAGACTATAAGATCTAGAGACACCAAATTTTGCACAAAGATGCCTTATGTGTGTATTCTATACGCATTTGTTTTATTGTTTTGATTTTCCCACCCACTTCCCCCCTAAGGGGGTTTTCCCGATTTTCCATTCGTATAATCGCCTATATCTCGGAGACTATAAGACCTAGGAACACCCAATTTTAGTCCGAGATGCCTTATGTGAATACACAGAAAATGTATATTTTGGAATTTCCCTCCCTCCCCCCTCTACCCCTCAAATCGTAACTCCCGTAATTCTTGGAATTTCCAACTTTTTTCAAATTTTGGAAATACACCCCCTTGGGTTATTATGTGTCCGTATGCCAAGTTTCACTATGATAGACCGATTTAACGAGAAGTTATAGCCATAAATATATTTGCTGCTGCAGCGCTGCTCGCTGAGTTGGAATACCGAGAGAGGTAATATCGATCAATATTTTTTTTTTATTTTCTTAATTTTTTTTATTTTCTATAATTATTGTAAACATATGTACAGAGTATTTCAAAGTCGGGACACCCGACTTTACCTTTTTTACTTGTTATACCCTGTACCCGTAGGGTAAAAAGGGTATATTAGGTTTGTGCAAAGTATGTAACATGCAGAAGGAAGCATCTCCGACCCCATAAAGTATATATATTCTGAATCAGCATGACGAGAGAAATCGATCTAGACATGTCCGTCCGTCCGTCTGTCCGTCTGAATGAACGCAAGGATCTCAGAAACTATGAAAGCTAGAATAACCAAAGTTGGCATCCAGATTCTCCTAGGTCCGAGAAAGGACGAGTTTATTTTATTTTTTTAATTTTCCCCCCTTCCCCCGTTACAGAATTTCGTCAATAGCGTCCACATTTCAAATGCAAATGAATTTTATTCAATTCGGTTAATTCTAAATAAAGTTATTAGCAAAACAAATTCTCGCCAGTACAACCCCCCCAAGCTGCAGCAACAAGTTCGCTCTTCTTCTTCCTCCTTTTGCTGCTGCTTTGGACGCATATAACTCAGTGACGGAAGTTTACCTGGGTACAGGGTATTACACTGTCGGGCTTGCTCGACTGTAGCGTTCTCTCTTGTTCTTTTTTATTTTTAATTATGGTCACCGGCTTGAGTAGCGCTACTCTTAATAATTTCAATATTTTATTGCCCATATTCTTAAAAGTATCTATTGAAACTAATTCAATTTTCGTGCGGTGCCACTGTGATTTGGCTGATTTTTTTCTTACCGGCTTTCATTTCAAGCCTTTGGAAAAATTGTCCTTAGTCAATAGTTCCATTGGTATACAAATCGCCAACATCATATCTTGCACTAATTTTATTTCCATGCTTAAAGAAACATATCATATTATTCATGTGCAAGGTCACTACTTTGCGTACATCGTCATTTTTGATGACTTCATATACGTGGCTTAGAAGCTGTCGCAGAAAATTTGTACATTTTGCTAAAATGAATTTAGCAGTTTTTCAGTTAATTTGAATAATTGATTATGTACACACTTATTACACCTATTATATGTAAACACTTTTGAATAAACTGACTTGTAATTTGGAAACGAAGAAGAACATACGTGTTGGTGGAAGCCCGGTGCAAATTTAATTAAAATAACTACTGCCGCAGTAACAGAAATTGGTCATTCGAGCCGGATCGTTAACGCGTAGAATACAGTCCACAATCAAAATCAAATATCAGAATGTGCCAGTGGTCAGAATTAGCGAAGATCAAAATCGACGAGTCGAAGTCGCAAAACTTGCGCGACGTCCATTTTACATTATACCGCAAATTTGTCACTGAAAATTGTATCAAGCGCGATCTCCGAAAATTCGCTGGTCTGGAATATAGTATAACCAACAACAAAAAATGCAACATGAAAAATGTATCGCAGGAGAACTTGGCGTAAACGCAATGCGACGTGTATGCGATTTCCTGGAACTGGAAGTGCCAGAAAACGAGGAAAATATCAGCATCGCGTCAGTAATTGTAGACGCAATATCGTTCGAGTCTGAACATACAGCAATGGAACATTCTGGGAATCCAGTTGAAGAGTTGGCAGTTCTAGAACAAATTGAGGTCATCGATTTGGAAAATCTGCAGGTCCAAACAAAAATGTGCGACGTACAAAAAGCAATGCTCAATTCAAAGCGTCTATTAAGCGAAGCCCAAAATGAGGGCGCTTCAGCAGACCGAATAACGGAGCAAGACAACCAGATTCAAGAGATGACATCTGAGCTTAAAGTACTCCAAGCGCAGGCGGACGCATTAGTAAGTAGAAAAGCAGAGTTAAACACAACAGCTTTACTAATACGATTATCGTCACCGAACTCTTCCAAAACAACACTGTCGAGAGCGTCATCCAAAAATAGTTTGGGTTTTCCGGAGCCTTTACCACAAGTCCTACAAAAGCAACCACCATCACTGCAGATGGAAAGAAATCTTCAAAACAGCGTCTCAAACATGTTCGCAAGGCAATCCTTCCAAAATAGGAAAATTTAGTTTGACGGGTCGTCGTAATTGGGTTGGCGACATTTCAAGATGGAATTCGAGACATCAGGAAGAGAATGTGGCTTTTCAGCTTTTCGAGTTAATGCAAAAGGCTTCAAAAATCAAATGTGTAACAGACATAAGCGATTTCCAAGACTTCAATTGTGCAGTGCAAAATATTAACTCAACCCTGGGATTTATCGAAGGTAACATTATCGATTGTATCAGGACATAGGATTCTATAAGAGAATAAACATTACAATAAACAACGTGGTGCAAACTGAAGTAAGGTAAAATTATGTACAATCTCAAAAGGAGCAACAAATGCCAGCAGGGCGAGGAACTTCAAAAAATGTCCAGTTTGCAACGAAGAGCGACATCCGTTGGAAAAATGCAACTACTTCCTGAAACTAGATGTAAAGAAAAGGTGGGACTGCGCCAAAAAAAATGACGCATGTTTTTGCTGCCTGAACCAACACAAAGGTCAATGCTCAAAGCGTGAGCAATGCAAAATAAACAATTGTGAAAAATACCATCATCCTATGCTGCATAAAACACCCACATTCCAACCAATGGGATTTAGTGGTTGTGTGCAGGAGGTCCAGAACAATATACTTCTAAAAACGATACCGGTTATAATCCATGGTCCAACGGGAGATAAAGAGGACTTGGCATTCTTGGATGGCGGCAGTACTGCTACACTATTAGACATGCAAACAGCCCGTGATGTTGGTATAAAAGGAAAGGCCGAACCATTTTGCTTCAGCTGGACAGGCGGAGTGTTCAGGTATGAGAATACGGCCGAAACTGCAGAACTCAACATAAGTGGTGCTGGCAAAAGGTATGTTATGGGAAATGTCCATATCATTAATAAGTTAAAACTGCCGGCGCAGTTGGTAGATTATAACACCATTCAACAACAACAATACCCGTACACAAAAATTGTAAAAATGCATACTTTGACAAACACACAACCAGTGCTGATGATTGGCGCATGCTGTTGCGCATTTGATCTCATCACAGGCTGTCATTAATACGAATGACAACGGGCCTATGTTGTCAAAAACCAGATTGGGATGGGTCATGAATGGTCCCGTCAAAACAAAAGAGAAGAAAGCTAACTTCGTGTGCTGTCAAGTTGAAAACCAAGACCTTCGAGAAATGCTGAAAGGTCAATTTAGCTTGGAAATATTTGGAAGCTGTAGACAAAAGTAGACAAAACCAAGTCTATGGCGGACAAATTGGCTATTGACAAAATTTCAAAATCTATAGCTAAATTCGGTGATCACTTTCAGATTAATTTGCCGTGGAAAACCGACACCCAAGCCTACCGGAGAGTCGTCACATGGCAGAACAGCGGCTGAAATGTCTCGAACGTAAATTACTACGAGACCCACAACTACCAAACGCGTATCAACGAGAAATTGACAAACTCATAGCAAACGGCTATGCGAGAATTGTGACAAATCCAGAGGTATTTAGGTCACAAAAATTATGGTATCTTCCACACTTTGCAGTACTAAATCCAAACAAGCCTGGGAAAGTGAGGCTTGTCTTTGATGCAGCAGAAGAGAGCAATGACACCTCTCTAAACAAAAACCTGCTAACGGACCCTGATTGGTTAACCACAATTTTTGGTGTGGTGATACGATTTCGAATGCACCCAATAGCATTTGCAGCTGATATAAAAGAGATGTTTAATCAAGTACATATTTCAGATGATGATGCTGCAGCGCAGTGTTTTTTGTGACGTAATTTAAATCCGCAAACACAGCCCACTGTTTATCAAATGAAAGCGATGATCTTTGGAGCAACATCCTCACCCTTTGCAGCACAATTCGTCAAGAAATATACCAGGCATTAGACCCAGACGCACTACAAGCAGTCATAAGGGATCATTATGTAGACGATTATCTTCAATCGAACCCAACTGTTGACGGAGCTGTGAAAATCATAAAGTCCGTGATAAGCATTCATGCGAATGCACACTTTGAAATAAGAAATTTTATTTCAAACAAATGCGAAGTTTTGCAGCAGATCCCGAAGGAATTACATGGTTCAACAACTATTATGCAGTTTGGAGGCAAAGCCGATGTCTATCAGAAAATTTTAGGAATCATATGGGATGCAAAAAGCGATATATTTACATTCTCCACCACAACGATGCACAGCATAACAGAGGATCTACTCAACGGGACAAAGTTGCCTACTAAACGCAAAGTATTGGCAGCCGTAAACTCCGTGTACGACCCACTTGGCTTGGTAACACCCATTACCATAAAAGGCCGTATAATCATGCGAGAAGTGTGGCAGTCTGGCATCAATTGGGATGACGTCATCAAAGGAGATGTAGTTTAAAAATGGACAGAAAAAAATATGCGAGAAGTCGAACACATCCGAGTGGTACTGGGTGCCAACAGAGGACAATATTGCAGACATCATAACACGCAAAACAACACAAAAACAAAAATTATTGAGATGGCAACGCGGCCCTAAATTTTTGGACCTGGAAAGAAATTTCTGGCCTGTACAGAAGTTCAAAGCAAACGAGGAAATCGTCATGGTTGCTTGCCAACAAGACCCCGTGCTAAGTATCCTTTTATCAAGAATATCTAACTTTACAAAACTTTTGCGTTCAACAGGTTGGGTCAAGCGATTTGTAACGAACGTAAAGAGAACCCTCTCTCAACAACAGAAAAAACATGGAGATCTCGATGTCGAAGAACTTACTTGGGCCAAAACAACTTGGTGTCAGATGGTTCAGGCTACTGACTGCTACGGGAACGACTGCTACGGAGTACAAGTCGTGGTGCACAACTTTAAAGAAAAGTATTGGATGCCCAAAATGAATACATTGATCAAGGCGGTCATAAATGAGTGCCTGTGGTGTCGACGGCGAAAGGCTAAACCGATGCAGCCAAAAATGGGATGGCTACCAAAAGAGAGGTTCACCGTATCCCAGAAACCATTCACTTCAGCTGGAGTTGATTACTTTGGCCCTTTTTACACAAAGGAAGGCAGTAGTGGCCGATACAACAAAGTCTTGCGCAAACGATATGGGGTACTTTTTACTTGCTTAACCACGAGAGCAGTACATGTTGAAGTGGCCAACTCCTTGAACACCGATTCCTGCATAATGGCAATTCGACGCATGCTTGCACGAAGAGGCAATATTGAAACACTATGGTCGGATAACGGTACCAACTTCAGAGGCGCCTGCAGAGAGCTACAAGAAGCACTTGTGGAATTGGACACTGCAGCAATTCGATCTAAACAATAACTACCACTGGAATTGATTGGAAATTTATTCCAGCAAGTGCGCCAAACTTCGGAGGCTGTTGGGAGCGCCTAATAGGGTGCTTCAAAAGAACTATGGATGCTGTCATTCCAATAAACACAAATCTGAGCGATGAGGCTCTACAAACAATATTTTGTGAGACAGAACATCTGGTCAATTCTCGACCATACATATTGGAATCAGATGACCCCGATGATAGCATTGGAATATGTCCAAACGACATACTCATCCAACAACAAGCAACAATACACGCTCCGTGTGCTAACAACGATCCTTTGGAGAAACGAATTTGGCGAAAAACTCAGGTGCTAATTGAAAACTTCTGGAGACGATTTTTAAAGGAATATCTAACGATGCTGATCTCTCGCCAAAAATGGTCAAAAAACTACGATAACATTCGTGAAGGCGAGGTGGTGGTCATCAAAGGGAACATGCCGCGAGGTGACTGGCCACTGGGAGTAGTAATGAAAACATATCCAGCAGACGACAACGTGGTACGTGTGGTGGATGTGAAGACTACCGGAAACCTCTACCGAAGACCAGTTAACAAACTATGCCGTTTACAAATTGAATCCACCAACATTAATGATCGTGTTGAGAAACAGATGCAACACTAGGGGGCAGAAATATGTCGCAGAAAATTTGTACATTTTGCTAAAATGAATTTAGCAGTTTTTTAGTTCATTTGAATAATTGATTATGTACACACTTATTACACATATTATATGTAAACACTTTTGAATAAACTGACTGGTAATTTGGAAACGAAGAAGAACAGCCGTGTTGGTGGAAGCCCGGTGCAAATTTAATTAAAATAACTACTGCCGCAGTAACAGAAGCATTTTCAAGACTTTGCCTTGGCATAAGTTCTTGTTCATTTCCTATGTAGGTTTTTGTTTGTCTACTTTGATTTCTTGTAGTGACTTTTAATATTGTTGCTGTCATACTTTTTAATTCATCTATGGTTATTCTTGACTTGGCTACATGGTTGTCTTTTCCCTTCAGATACTCTACTGTGAATTGATACTCATCTAGTTCCAGCCTAATTCTGGTTAACTTTGAACTTGTGTTTACCATGGAAAATAAAAAGATAAGAGGCCTATGGTCTGTTTTAACTACGAAATGTTTGCCATATATGTATATATGGTCTGAAATAATTTATGGCCCAATGTATTGCTGTTAATTCTTGCTCTGTGGTGCTTTTATTTGACTCGCCCTTAGTAAAAGTCTTTGAAGCATATGCTACGGGAATATGTAATCCATAATGTTCCTGCGTTAATAGTACAACTCCACCACATCTGTGGTTATGCAAAACTCCTTAGAAAAATCTGGATATTTAAGTAGTGTTGGACCCATTAGTTGTTTCTTTAAATAATCAAAAGCTTCTTGACATTGAGGTGTCCATTCGAGTTTAGCATTTTTCTTGCATAGTTTTGAAATGTGGTGGGCATAATCCGCGAAATTTTTAATGAATCTACGATAATAGTTGCAGAAGGCAACAAATCGTCTGGCGCTATCTGCGTCTGTGGGGACCGGGTATTTTTCTATGATACTATATTTTTTGTCATCTGGCAGAATACCTTGGTTAGTGCATTTGTGACCTAGAAAGGTTACCTCAAGCATAAAAATGTGCGCTTATCCGGGTGCAGCTTTAAATTGTTCTTTCTACAAAGCTCACATACATCGATTAGGTTATATGTTATATGTTTTTCCGAACATCCTATGACTATTAGATCGTCCATGTAAAGGAACGCTTGAGTTGGTTTCAACCCTGTAAATGCTAATGTCATCATTCGTTGGAAGGAGTTTGGAGATATTTTTAACCCAAAAGGTAATCGCGTGAAGCGATAAGAGCCATTGCTCGTTGAAAATGAAGTTATATTTCGTGATTCCTCTTCCAACTCTATCTGGTGAAATCCAGACATTAAATCCAAACATGAAAAATATTTTGCTCTGCCAAGTTGGTCTGCTAATAATTTTTTATTAATTTGGCGATAATCAACAACCAATCGCCACCTTTTCTTTTCAGAGTCTGGTAGTGATTTCTTGGGAACCAACAGCAATGGGCTGAAATTGAAGGTTCTACTATATTATCCTTTATTAATTTATCTACTTGCTTTATTATTTCATCTTTCTCATTATGAAGATTTTTGTAATTCTTAATATAAACCGGTTCCAATAATCTTCGTAGATTATCGATTTCATTAGTGAACTGTGGCGCAGTTTTACCTTTTTGATGCCCGTTAGCCATTTTAGCTTTCACTACGTCGGATGTTTCACCACCAATGGTAGCGTTTAGCTTATTTATAATTGCAGTTATTGTAGTCTCATTTTGGACTTTGTATAAGGCTGAGCCAATTATTTTTGACTTTATTACCTCAACAGCAATTCGTTCGTACGGTCTTTTTGTCAAATTAACCAATATAACTGCCGTTAGAAATCTTTGCAAGTGAATTCTTTTTCCATCGAATTCAGGAATTGCGGAAGAAATTTCCCTGATTTACGCCCTATCGGCAGCTGATGTGTCTGTCATGTTTATATCTTTATTTTCTGTATCAGTATCTGACTGAATTGGAACGTTTATAACGGCTGGGATTGTCAAATTACTTAAATCTTCCTCGTGTAATTCTGTCTCTTCCTCATCAACTTCCAATTGTTCCTTTACCTTTATCTCTACAGGTGTATTGACAATGCTGGGGATTGTTATATCCAATTGATATTATGTTTTTATGTCATTTAGATTTTCTCGCAATTTACTTAAGATTTTGGTTACCTGAGTCAAGTGATTGCTTGTTAACTTGCTTCTTACTCATGAACTAGTTGTCGTGTTTCGTTAAAACATTCTACTTGTCTGTTTGCATGTTTATAAACTGTACTAGCTCGGATATGCTGATTTTGGGACAAGCATTTGTATGACTTGTCAAATTTGCTCCTAATATATTTGATTTCTGCATATATCTTATATCTGCCCACTCCATAACAGATAAAGACAGCGAAATTCGTTTTCATCTCAATTCAGTTATTAAAAGTGCATTTAATTATTCATAAAAAAAAGTTATTGGTTACGTTATACTTTTTTGTT